ATGTAACTGTATCATACCATTATTGAGAGAAATGAATGCTTAAAAAAGAACACACTTATTTTTGCATAACTTTTCAATAGCATTGAAGTGGCCGCTGGAATGTCTTAGAATAATTTTCTAATTATGCTGTTAGTATTCTCAGTTCTCTAATTACACTCAGCTATAAGCTGAGTTACCATCTTTCTTGGTAACTAGGCTTATCTTTCTGGTAGCCGGTTAAGCTTCTAAAACAAAGTTAAATCTGTAATACATAGGAAATAAACAACAAAACCATAGCATGAATGCTATTTTATTTCCTATCAGATGTAATAAGTAAGCACTAAGAATGGTTCCACTTCCTCACCTGTTGACACATTAGAATTAACAAAGAGAGGGGGTCAAATACATAAATTTAGGAATAGTGTAATGAAAGGAAGAGAAAGCAGAGCTGATTACTCCCAAAGGAAACAAGCCAAGGACATCTAAAAAAAGAATCAATGTTCACAATACAAAGATTTATACATATTTAACCGTGCATCAAAAACTGAAACAATGCACAATAATATTTTTCATTGTGTAAACTCTCTGCAAAAGAGAAATATTTTAATACTTTCCATTTTCATACATATCAACTGCCATGATTCAGAAAACCCTATTCCCTTTCTGCATTAATACCATTCATTTGTTAAATTGGAAACTAATGACAACTTCTAGTTCTGGTCCCACCACACGTAATTCATACACACACACAACTATGAAGCAATTCTTCAGCACTAAATAGTCTCTTTACAAGTAGACATTTTTATTTATAAGCTAAAGTACAAGTCAATGTAAAGCACTAGATTAGCACATTTTAAAAACACCATTAAAAATTCAGTCTGCTTCAAGTACAGCAATCTCTGATCCCACATTAAATTCTCTCACAGCGGAGCATCATACAGCATTTTCAGAACAGTTTCGATTCAGACACAACCCCGCTCTCATTCCACAAATCCTGACAGGAGCTGCCACCCCCCCCGCTCCAAAGAGCTAATCAATAACCAAGCATTTTAATCCTTCTTTGTCCTAATACTACATTACTGAAGCAGATTAGATTTTTCTAATTTATTTCACACTTAACATTTAAATTAGCGCATTGCTAGCTGCAATATTACTATTTAAATGAACGTATAACTTAAAGATCAAATTCTGTCTTCAATAGATTTACATAAAAGGACAGAAAGGATAACATTTGTCTACCAGCATGTTATGTGGATCTCCTTAACTCAATTTACTATGGATTTCATGGTGCAAAAATTAATGCCCTCCAGGAGCTGAACTCATTACCAATTATTTCTTCCAAACCTGCAGAGTAATCCCACACTGCTGTGACTGATGGAAGTTTTGCCACTCACTTAAAGGGAAGTTGGATCTGCTCATTGGTTCACTACTCTGGCAAGCGACACCGAGCAAAACGATACCATAGATATTGGTTTGACTTCTTTCTAATATGGAAAATATACTATGAACCAGTCTCATGTATTTTATTGCCCGCTAAAAATGAGAACAACATAAAGTTGCCAACAGAACTATATGCCTTTTCCAACATGAATTTCCAGAATACATTTCACCAACAATAATGGCAAACAGCCTGTAGAGTTGCTCACGGACCCTGCATCCCCTTCCCGACTCCAGAAGCCACAGAAGTATGCCCACAAGTCATCTGGCACACGTGTATCTCACCGAACTCCCAGCACACATAAAAATAGCCTCCCACTAGGCACCTGACCCAATAAACTCCTTTTACATGCCTGTAACAGAGAAGAACTGGTAAACAAACAAACAAAAAAAAAAAAGAAAAATTGTTCACGTATTCTTGTGGCCAACATACAGTTGACCATAGGTCACAGGTGCCACAACTCTAGCTTTCAAAATAAAAAATGCTTTCAAAATAATTAAGCGAACCACTTAGTTTTAATTCTTCTGAAAAGCATGAAATAAATCTGACAACATCTTTGACAAGGCTCAGCCAAGTATAATGGTCCACAGTAAAAACAACCAGCCGTTTTCACATGTAGCTGACATTCAGTAACATACAGAGGAAACCCATAAACAACACATTCTGCATTATGATAGCTCTCCAGTGGCATTCAATTTAAGTGATCATATCTCCATTACTTGTGCTTGGGACAGATAAGCAGTTCCTGTTCCACACTTCATACAAGAAGGCTCAAGAAAACCCATGTATTTGAGAGAATTGTAACTGATACACATGCCCATTTGAAAAAAATATTATTTGATTCACTGATACTAAAACAAAACAAGCAAACAAATCAATCCCAGCAATATTTCACATACAATATTTTCAAAATTCTAAAACATAATATTCTTTAAAGGCCACCACTCCGCAGAAACTGCCAGCTTGCATTTTAACCTGTCCTGAACAGGCAGAAGTCCACATCATGGAAAACAGAAGTCTGCTGTTACGGTTTCTGTACCACAGCTCATGAGGCTAGCAGGGAGCACACCAACCATCCCATCACTTAAACCGGTGGCTCAAAGCAGCAGAGATTCATCTTAATAAATGAGCATACACACTGGTTCTTTCCATAGCTGTATCTGTTCTGCAAATAAGGGTTCAATACTGTTTCTATTACCCCTTCAAAACAGTTTTCCTTTAAAAGGAAAAGGCAAAAGCCAGCAATCCTACTTTCAGGAACACCTGCCAGTTGCAACATTACCCTGTAGTTAAATCTGTCAATAGACTGCAGGCCAGAAGGGTTGGTTGATCGTTTCAAAAGTAAGTTTCAAAACATCTAGTGCCCATATAGGATAACAGATGTAAAAGTGAAAAAGAAGCCTCTGCACAGATTTAGGACATATGCACTGAAGTGAACATCAAGTCAGATCAGTAATTCATAGTTTAAAAGCACTTCACTATCCGCATGCTGCCATTAACATGAGTATCTTCTCTGCCATATGTTTGACAGCCTAAAAATTTTACGAGAGGGTAGCGAAAAGATTCATTAGGATGCCTCTCAAGTTCACATGACTGATTTTACGCAAAACTGATCAAAAAGACAGGACCCTCTTCCCCTTCACCCTCAGCTCACATGTATCTTCTGGCTCTCAATTCTAGTGAATAATGTAATGATTCTTTCCACAGAGAATGACCAAACCCACAATCTCCCTCCTCCCCTAGCCCCTTCCAGTGAGGTCTGAAAACTTCCTTACATTTTTACTAACCTAGGCACCCTCAAAAACTGAAACTCCCACAAATTGCAAACACCTAGGTCTGGGCCACAGGCCATCGGCACCGTACTCCCATTTCTGCCAGTAATACAATGTGTTGGGTTTGCCTTGCTGCAAGAGAAATAGTAAGGCTGACAATTGTTTTCTTTCTTACTGGTCAAGAAAAGAGGATAACACCACAGTAGTGCATTTCTAATTTAGCATCATCTAAATGACTTCTAACAAGCAGGGAGATAGACTAACAGAATGCAAAGAACAAAAGTAACATTTCCTTCTCCAGAAGGGGCAAATGAATAATTAAAAGGGAAATAAAGTGAATCCAGAAACAAAACAAAAAAAGGCAAGAAGTCTAATTAGTTATCACAGGAAAACCGGGGAACAGATTTTTGAAGTTCCATTTGCTACCCACTACGATTGGACAGAGCAGTCCCCATTACAAACTGTAATGGGAATCAGGCTCTAAAGAACTTGCAATATCACTATACGAAAACCCATAATAACTACAAAAAGGGTATATACAAATGCCTACAATAAGGAATGGTTTCCTAAATCTAAGACAGTATAGAATCTTCCTGACTACAAGATCTACTAGTTTTGTTTGAGCCTTATCAGCCTAGGTATTTAGAAGAAAACCAGATAAAACATTAACACTAGTGAAGAAATGGCAAACAGGGAAAATGGATATTCTGCTAACATGTCCTCTCCACAGGCAGATTTAGGAAGTCCTAGGAGGGCTATAATCTCCCTGACGATGCTGTCACTCCCAGTGATGGGATGCAGCAGCAACTTTATAGCTTCACAACTCCACCTCCTTCCCCCAAAACTTGCAGCAGCAGCTGTCCCTGCTTTCTCAACACCTGTACATAATTTTATCCTCAAGTCCCCCCTTCACATTCCATACTGCAACCAGAACTGCAGTAACTTCTTAGCTGGATGGGCAAGACAAATTTATCACTTTCAAGTGCCTGAAATCAGTGCCCATCCCTGAACTGGTGATGGGCAGAAGAGCTCGTAGCTGTCGTGCCGATGGTACCTCACTGGTGTCTACAGCTCAGTCTCACACATCTCATACAGCTGAAGGACCTTGTTGTGAAGCACTACATTTTGCATACTTAAAAGCAAAACAAAACAAAACACAACAAGCTTGCTTTGTTATGTCTTAATTATAACTCCTGCTAAATCTCACAAGGTATTTAATTTAGTGCCATAATATATTTAAATAAGGAAATAATCCAAAATAGGTGGTTTCAGGTTGCACTGAAATTGTATATTCCCAGAGCAAAACTGGCCAAGAACAGATGCCCAAGGACAGGTACAAGAACAAGGCAAGCACATCACTGCATTTCCCTAGGACCCACAGGTCTCACAACCTCCAGAATTTGCAGCTCCGAGATCTGCTGAGCCAGAAGTACATCTCTGTGGTTAATTGATTTTTCTTCCGTGACTAAAGCACTGCAATTTAAGGCTGTTCTAACAGTAGTTAGAGCTTGCTGAAATACTAGAAAAGACACTGTGCTGCTGCAGGGCACTCTGAATTCCCAAACTCAGGGTGAGCAAACTGCTACAGCACCCAGCTCCAATCATCTCAACCCCCTGAAGTTGTACCTAGACCCAGCTGTAGCTGTTCCACAGGCAATCACTGGCGGGTGTGCTGTCTGGAATTAACCAGGCCTCTGGGTGCACATGCTGAATGTTTTTCCTCCAAACTGCTCCCACTGAGAAACCATAGTCTTTTTCCTCAAATGAAATAGACCTTTGCAAAACATCAGGGAACCAGAATAGCATGAAACTTACTTGTATTAGAAGCTGAAGTACAGATTTCATCGGGATTTCCTAAGGATCTTTTTCCAGTCATAAACTGGAAAAAAAAACCCAAAAAGCACAGATTGCAAATTTTATTTTGGTAGGTTTTTTTGTTTGTTTGTTTTTTTAATTTGCTTGATTTTGATTTTTGCTTTTTTAATTTGTTACTGTTCCAAGTACCCTCCACAGCCTATTCCCACTGGACACTAAGGATCCACCACCGACCTCCCGAATTTGTTCGGGAAAGGATTCGCCCCTGATCCTCCAAGCCACCTTCCCAGCGCTGACCCCCCTCCCTCCCTCCCTCCCTCCGCTCCTCCCCTCTGAGCTTCCAGC